TTATTTTTCTTATCCATCACCAAATTTTAGGTTACTTCATCACCAAGAAACTAAGTTAAAAGACTATTAATTTATGACATATATTTCATATATATTCATAATAATTAAAACTATATAATGAGGTTAGATAGTAAATTTATTCACCATATTCACATTGTATTATACTATAATAGATGTAAACAATTTTAATATTATTCTTCTTATCCATCACCAAAGTTTAGGTTACTTCATCACTAACAAACCAATTTAAAAGACTATTAGTTTATGACATATATTTCATATATGTTCGTAACAATTAAAACTATATAATGTGGTTAGATAGTAAATTTATTCACCATATTCAAATTTTATTATGTTATAATAGATGTAAACAATTTCAATATTATTCTTATTATCCATCACCAAATTTTAGGTTACTTCATCAATAAGAAACTAAGTTAAAAGACTATTAATTTATGACATATATTTCATATACGTTCATAATAATCAAAACTATATAATGAGGTTAGATAGTAAATTTATTCACCATATTCACATTGTATTATGTTATAATAGATGTAAACAATTTTAATATTGTTCTTCTTATCCATCACCAAATTTTAGGTTACTTCATCACTAAGAAACTAAGTTAACAGACTCTTAGTTAATGACATATATTTTATATACGTTCGTAAAAATTAAAACTATATAATGAGGTTAGATAGTAAATTTATTCACCATATTCATATTGTATTATGGTATAATAGATGTAAACAATTTCAATATTATTCTTCTTATCCATCACCATATTTTAGGTTACTTCGACAATAAGAAACTAAGTTAAAAGACTATTATTTAATGACATGTATTACATATACGTTCGTAATTATTAAAACTATATAATGAATCTAGATAATATATTTATTCACCATATTCACATTGTATTATGATATAATAGATGTAAACAATTTCAATATTTTACTTCTTCTCCATCACTAAATTTTAGGTTATTTCATCACTAAGAAACCAAGTTAAAAGACTATTAGTTAATGACATATATTTCATATACGTTCGTAACAATTAAAACTATATAATGAGGTTAGATAGTAAATTTATTCACCACATTCACATTGTATTATGGTATAATAGATTTAAACAATTTCAATATTCTTCTTCTTATCCATCACCAAATTTAAGGTTACTTCATCACTAAGAAACTAAATTAAAAGACTATAAATTAATGACATATATTTCATATACGTTCGTAATTATTAAAACTATATAATGAATCTAGATAGTATATTTATTCACCATATTCACATTGTATTATGGTATAATAGATGTAAATAATTTCAATATAATTCTTCTTATCCATCACCAAATTTTAGGTTACTTCATCACTAAGAAACTAAGTTAAAAGACTATTAATTAATGACATATATTTCATATATGTTCGTAATAATTAAAACTATATAATTAGGCTAGATAGTATATTTATTCACCGTATTCACATTGTATTATAGTATAATAGATGTAAAAAATTTCAATATTATTCTTCTTATCCATCACTAAATTTTAGGTTATTTTATCACTAAGAAACCAAGTTAAAAGACTATTAGTTAATGACATATATTTCATATACGTTCGTAACAATTAAAACTATATAATGAGGTTAGATAGTAAATTTATTCACCATATTCACATTGTATTATGGTATAATAAATTTAAACAATTTCAATATTATTCTTCTTATCCATCACCCAATTTTAGGTTACTTCATCACTAAGAAACTAAATTAAAAGACTATTAATTAATGACATATATTTCATATACGTTCGTAATTATTAAAACTATATAATGAATCTAGATAGTATATTTATTCACCATATTCACATTGTATTATGGTATAATAGATGTAAATAATTTCAATATAATTCTTCTTATCCATCACCAAATTTTAGGTTACTTCATCACTAAGAAACTAAGTTAAAAGACTATTAATTAATGACATATATTTCATATATGTTCGTAATAATTAAAACAATATAATTAGGCTAGATAGTATATTTATTCACCGTATTCACATTGTATTATGGTATAATATATGTAAACAATTTCAATGTTATTCTTCTTATCCATCACTAAATTTTAGGTTACTTCATCACTAAGAAACCAAGTTAAAAGACTATTAGTTAATGACATATATTTCATATACGTTCGTAACAATTAAAACTATATAATGAGGTTAGATAGTAAATTTATTCACCATATTCATATTGTATTATGGTATAATAGATGTAAATAATTTCAATATTATTCTTCTTATCCATCACCAAATTTTAGGTTACTTGATTACTAAGAAACAAATTAAAAAGACTATTAGTTAATGACATATATTTCATATACGTTCGTAACAATTAAAACGATATAATGAGGTTAGATAGTAAATTTATTCATCATATTCATATTGTATTATGGTATAATAGATGTAAATAATTTCAATATTATTCTTCTTATCCATCACCAAATTTTAGGTTACTTCATCACTAAAACAAATTAAAAAGACTATTAGTTAATGACATATATTTCATATACGTTCGTAACAATTAAAACGATATAATGAGGTTAGATAGTAAATTTATTCACCATATTCATATTGTATTATGGTATAATAGATGTAAATAATTTCAATATTATTCTTCTTATCCATCACCAAATTTTAGGTTACTTCATCACTAAGAAACTAAGTTAAAAGACTATTAGCTAATGACATATATTTTATATACGTTCGTAACAATTAAAACTATATAATGAGGTTCGATTGTAAATTTATTCACCATATTCATATTGTATTATGGTATAATAGTTTAAACAATTTCAATATTATTCTTCTTATCCATCGCCAAATTTTAGGTTACTTCATAACCAAGAAACTAAGTTAAAAGACTATTAATTATTGACATATATTTCATATATGTTTTGTAATTATTAAAACTATATAATGAATCTAGATAGGATATTTATTCACCATATTCACATTGTATTATGATATAATAGATGTAAACAATTTCAATATTTTACTTCTTCTCCATCACTAAATTTTAGGTTATTTCATCACTAAGAAACTAAGTTAAAAGGCTATTATTTAATGACAAATATTTCATATATGTTCATAGAAATTAAAATTATACAATGATTCTAGATAGTATATTTATTTACCATATTCACATTGTATTATGGTATAACAGATATAAACAATTTCAATATTATTCTTCTTATCCATCACCAAATTTTAAGTTACTTCATCACTAAGAAACTAAGTTAAAAGACTATTAGCTAATGACATATATTTTATATACGTTCGTAACAATTAAAACTATATAATGATGTTAGATAGTAAATTTATTCACCATATTCATATTGTATTATGGTATAATAGATTTAAACAATTTCAATATTATTCTTCTTATCCATCACCAAATTTTAGGTTACTTCATCACTAAGAAACTAAGTTAAAAGACTATTAATTAATGACATATATTTCATATACGTTCGTAATTATTAAAACTATATAATTAGGATAGATAGTATATTTATTCACCATATTCACATTGTATTATGGTATACCAGATATAAACAATTTCAATATTATTCTTGTTATCCATCACCAAATTTTAAGTTACTTCATCACTAAGAAACTAAGTTAAAAGACTATTAATTAATGACATATATTTCATATATGTTCGTAATAATTAAAACTATATAATTAGGCTAGATAGTATATTTATTTACCATATTCACATTGTATTATGGTATAAGAGATATAAACAATTTCAATAGTATTCTTCTTATCCATCACCAAGTTTTAAGTTACTTCATCACTAAGAAACTAAGTTAAAAGACTATTAATTAATGACATATATTTCATATATGTTCGTAATAATTAAAACTATATAATTAGGCTAGATAGTATATTTATTCACCGTATTCACATTGTATTATGGTATAATAGATGTAAACAATTTCAATATTATTCTTCTTATCCATCATCAAATTTTAAGTTACTTCATCACTAAGAAACAAATTAAAAAGGCTATTAGTTAATGACATATATTTCATATACGTTCGTAACAATTAAAACGATATAATGAATCTAGATAGTAAATTTATTCACCATATTCATATTGTATTATGGTATAATAGATGTAAATAATTTCAATATTCTTCTTCTTATCCGTCACCAAATTTTAGGTTACTTCATCACTAAGAAACTAAGTTAAAAGACTATTAGCTAATGACATATATTTTATATACGTTCGTAACAATTAAAACTATATAATGAGGTTAGATAGTAAATTTATTCACCATATTCATATTGTATTATGGTATAATAGATTTAAACAATTTCAATATTATTCTTCTTATCCATCACCAAATTTTAGGTTACTTCATCACTAAAAAACTAAGTTAAAAGACTATTAATTAATGACATATATTTCATATACGTTCGTAATTCACTACTAAAAAAAAGACATTTGAGAAAAGGTTTTTACATCGGGTATCAAAATATATGATGTAAAAAATACAATTAACAAACTTTTTACATCAGGTATTTATTTGCAATGATATAAAAAATATGGAAAAAAATATATTTCGCTACCTATTACATCGGGCAAACGCATCCACCGATGTAAAAAGTTTTCAGAAAAAAATACGGTGGCATTTTTGTAAATAAGAAACAAAGTAGTAGAAATATTAATAAAAAACATGCAACATATTACATCGGTTGACTAAAAACCGATGTAATATCTTCACAACAGATATTAATATAAAAAATAAATTAAAGAATAAATTATTTTTTTTGCAACTTATTACATCGGGTATTACAAATGCACCGATGTAATAGGTGCATTGTAAAAAAAAAAGTCAGAAAAAAAGCTTGCCAACCCTTACCTCGGGTATTACAATGCACCGATGTAAAAAAAAAATTCAAAAAGGAGGCAGCGTAACCCAACATAACAATGAGCGAAAAGAGAAGAATAAGCCTTGTAGCAGGCTCATACGAACGCTTCATCTGGGGTTTCACTCTCAACCCCAACAAACAAACCCTAAACCCTCTCTTCTCCTACCCTTCCCATCTCTCCCTAATCAAATCCGTCGCCATCTCCGGTTCCGTCGTCGCCTCCGGCGGCTCCGACGACACTATCCAACTCTACAATCTCTCCGCCGCTTCCTCCCTCGGTTCCCTCACCCACCACTCCTCCACCGTCACCGCTCTCTCGTTCTACTCGCCTCCTCATCTTCCTTTCCCTCGCGATCTCGTTTCTGCAGATGCCGACGGTTCCCTCGCGATCTTCGATGCTGACGGTTTCGTTCATCTCAAGACACTTCCTGTTCATAAAAAGGCTATCAATGATCTGGCTCTTCATCCGTCCGGGAAGCTTGCCCTGACTGTTTCGCGGGATAATTGTTTTGCGATGGTGAACCTTGTTCGTGGTCGGAGGAGCTTTTGTTGTCGGTTGGATAAAGAGGCGTCAATTGTTCGATTTGATGCTTCCGGTGATTCGTTTTTCATGGCTGTTGATAAGGTTGTTTCTGTTCATCAAGCGGAGGATGCTAGGTTGTTGCTTGAATTGCAATTCCAGAATCGTGTTTTATGCGCTGCACCTGCTGGGGTTTGTGTTTTCCACTGACATACTGTAATTAATGTCTCTGTTCTCATGCTTTTTATGTTATTCAAAGCAAAATTATGTTAAGTTATATTGTCTTTATTTTAATTCATTTGTGAGGTTTCTTTGCGTGATTTATAATCTAGGTGTTAGTACAATAATAAAAGTCATAGTGAAAAGAAGCAAGTTTCAGGAATGGAAAATGAAAATAATATGGTTTTGCTGCTGAATGTTGTGTGATGCTGTTGTGAGGCTTGTGTATAAGTTGGATATGAATGTTAGGAGTAACTAAGGTTTTAAGTCACAGCCGAATCACCATAATTGATAATTCGTGGGAACCTGGTCAAATGTAAACCATGAGACTCAATTTCTTTCAGATGTGAAATATTGTGGTGTGAAACTATTTAATAAAACCCTATTTTATATAATAGGAAACAAAAAGAAAATTTATCATGTTTTATTCTTGCACAGGTTATACTCTACTGCATACATGTGCTGTAATTATTATGGAGAGAATTCATCAAAGTTATAGAGAGAATTCTCTTTGCTGTATTCACTTGTGTTCTAGCACTTGGTATGTTGCATTTTGCTTCTCTTCTTTATATCATGTATATGTTATTGTAAAAAGTGAGTGAAAATGTTGTGTTATGAACTCTAGGAGGTTCGATAATAGGAACAATAGGAGGAGCTATAAAAGGCCAAACCACAGAAGCTGGTTTTCTTGATGGAGCTTGCAAAGGAGCAATTGGAGGAGCCATTGCAACCATAGAGTTTATGAGTTAAGCTTCTGATGGTGAGTCATTTTCCAAGGTAAGATTTCTCATAGTACCAATATTTTCGTGTCCAACACTAACACTAACACTAACAAGACAATGACATATATCCGGATAGTGTTCAGAGCGTCGGTGTTAGTATCGTGTCTGGTATTCTTAATCTAACAGAGATAGTGTTCTTGTCACCTAAAAAATTTAGGTATGGAATTGCAGGTTGCTTTGTTGACAATTTTATTAAATGGAAAAGTGTTTATGGAATGGATATGTCCAACTGTGGCACAAGCTTATGTAAGTTTTAGTACTAAATGTTGAATACAATATTAGTCATGGGTTACATTTGATAAAAAAAAAGTTAAATGTTTTCAGATAAATTCAGTAGAAGCAGCTTATGGAGGAGTGGTTTCAGATATTTATGACAGCATGGGAGTTAAAGGGATGTCACAAACTTGTATTATGAAACTCCCATTTCATAAATTTAACTCTTCCGACAAAATTATGAAATTATACAATGAATCATGCTGCTTAATTTGCTTCCAGGTCAGAAACAAAATATTTTAACTTCTCAAAAAAGTTCATTTTAATCATTTATATATCATTTTGAGATTTTAGAAGTTTTCATATTTTACATAAACTTATGTTTTACATATTGATTTTGCAGGATTTTGAGAACGGAGAATTGGTGAGAATACTTCCAAAATGTTGTCACATTTATCATTTAGAATGCATTGACAAATGGCTAGTACAACAAGGATCGTGTCCTATTTGTAGAACTTATATTCTTCAATAGTTTTGTTTTTATTGTAAAATCTCTTTTTTTGTTCCAAGAGAGAAGCTATAATACCAAGCTTTAACTTTATTGTATGGTGGCGTTGAACCATTTGAGATGCAAACATGCGCTAAGCAATTATCCAACATTAATTTTGTCTATAAACTTCGTGTGTGGTAAATAGGTGTAATTTTTTTTTGGATTAAATATATTTTATTTTTGTAATATTATTGAGTTTTGATTTATAAACTTTGTAATATTTTATTTTATTTTATTTTTAAAAATGTGCATAATAACTGTTTCTTACATCGGTTCATATATTATAACCGATGTAAAAAGGGACTTTTTACATCGGGTATTACTTTCAACCGATGTAAAAAACTGGATCAATTTTTTTAAAAAATGTGCATAATAACTGTTTCTTACATCGGTTCATATATTATAACCGATGTAAAAAATGGACTTTTTACATCGGGTATTACTTCCAACCGATGTAAAAAATTGGATCAATTTTTTAAAAAATGTGCATAATAACAGGTTATTACATCGGTTAGGATATTATAACCGCTGTAAAAAAGGGACTTTTTATATCGGTCCCAGAACCGATGTAAAAAGTCTCTGATTTACTATATCGCCTGACTTTACATCGGACCCAAAACCGATGTAAAAAGTCAATTTCACCCGATGTAAAAAGTCATTTCTGCACTAGTGATTATTAAAACTATATAATTAGGATAGATAGTATATTTATTCACCATATTCACATTGTATTATGGTATAACAGATATAAACAATTTCAATATTATTCTTGTTATCCATCACCAAATTTTAAGTTACTTCATCACTAAGAAACTAAGTTAAAAGACTATTAATTAATGACATATATTTCGTATATGTTCGTAATAATTAAAACTATATAATTAGGAAAGATAGTATATTTATTCACCGTATTAACAATGTATTATGGTATAACAGATATAAACAACTTCAATATTATTCTTCTTATCCATCAATAAATTTTAGGTTACTTCATCACTAAGAAACCAAGTTAAAAGACTATTAGTTAATGACATATATTTTATATATGTTCGTAATAATTAAAACTATATAATTAGGCTAGATAGTAAATTTATTCACCGTATTCACATTGTATTATGGTATAATAGATGTAAACAATTTCAATATTATTCTTCTTATCCATCACTAAATTTTAGGTTACTTCATCACTAAGAAACCAAGTTAAAAGACTATTAGTTAATGACATATATTTCATATATGTTCGTAACAATTAAAACGATATAATGAGGTTAGATAGTAAATTTATTCACCATATTCATATTGTATTATGGTATAATAGATGTTAATAATTTCAATATTATTCTTCTTATCCATCACCAAATTTTAGGTTACTTCATAACTAAGAAACTAAATTAAAAGACTATTAATTAATGACATATATTTCATATACGTTCGTAATTATTAAAACTATATAATTAGGCTAGATAATATATTTATTCACCGTATTAACATTGTATTATGGTATAATAGATTTAAACAATTTCAATATTATTCTTCTTATCCATCACTAAATTTTAGGTTACTTCATCACTAAGAAACCAAGTTAAAAGACTATTAATTAATGACAGATATTTCATATACGTTCGTAACAATAAAAACGATATAATGAGGTTAGATAGTAAATTTATTCACCATATTCATATTGTATTATGGTATAATAGATGTAAATAATTTCAATATTCTTCTTCTTATCCATCACCAAATTTTAGGTTACTTCATCACTAAGAAACTAAGTTAAAAGACTATTAGTTAATGACATATATTTTATATACGTTCGTAACAATGAAAACTATATAATGAGGTTAGATAGTAAATCTATTCACCATATTCATATTGTATTATGGTATAATAGATTTAAACAATTTCAATATTATTCTTCTTATCCATCACCAAATTTTAGGTTACTTCATCACCAAGAAACTAAGTTAAAAGACTATTAATTAATGACATATATTTCATATACGTTCGTAATTATTAAAACTATATAATGAATCTAGATAGTATATTTATTCACCATATTCACATTGTATTATGATATAATAGATGTAAACAATTTCAATATTTTACTTCTTCTCTATCACTAAATTTTAGGTTATTTCATCACTAAGAAACTAAGTTAAAAGGCTATTATTTAATGACAAATATTTCATATATGTTCGTAGACATTAAAATTATACAATGAGTCTTGATAGTATATTTATTTACCATATTTACATTGTATTATGGTATAACAGATATAAACAATTTCAAAATTCTTCTTCTTATCCATCACCAAATTTTAAGTTACTTCATCACTAAGAAACTAAGTTAAAAGACTATTAATTAATGACATATATTTCATATATGTTCGTAATAATTAAAACTATATAATTAGGCTAGATAGTATATTTATTCACCGTATTCACATTGTATTATGTTATAATAGATCAAAACAATTTCAATATTATTCTTCTTATCCATCACTTAATTTTAGGTTACTTTATCACTAAGAAACCAAGTTAAAAGACTATTAGTTAATGACATATATTTCATATACGTTCGTAACAATTAAAACTATATAATGAGGTTAGATAGTAAATTTATTCACCATATTCATATTGTATTATGGTATAATAGATGTAAACAATTTCAATATTATTCTTCTTATCCATCACCAAATTTTAGGTTACTTCATCACCAAGAAACAAATTAAAAAGGCTATTAGTTAATGACATATATTTCATATACGTTCGTAACAATTACAACGATATAATGAATCCAGATAGTAAATTTATTCACCATATTCATATTGTATTATGGTATAATATATGTAAATAATTTCAATATTCTTCTTCTTATCCATCACCAAATTTAGGTTACTTCATCACTAAGAAACTAAGTTAAAAGACTATTAGCTAATGACATATATTTTATATACGTTCGTAACAATTAAAACTATATAATGAGGTAAGATTGTAAATTTATTCACCATATTCATATTGTATTATGGTATAATAGATTTAAACAATTTCAATATTATTCTTCTTATCCATCACCAAATTTTAGGTTACTTCATCACCAAGAAACTAAGTTAAAAGACTATTAATTAATGACACATATTTCATATATGTTTTGTAATTATTAAAACTATATAATGAATCTAGATAGTATATTTATTCACCATATTCACATTGTATTATGATATAATAGATGTAAACAATTTCAATATTTTACTTTTTCTCCATCACTAAATTTTAGGTTACTTCATCACTAAGAAACTAAGTTAAAAGGCTATTATTTAAAGACAAATATTTCATATATGTTCATAGAAATTAAAATTATACAATGAGTCTTGATAGTATATTTATTTACCATATTCACATTGTATTATGGTATAACAGATATAAACAATTTCAATATTATTCTTCTTATCCATCACCAAGTTTTAAGTTACTTCATCACTAAGAAACTAAGTTAAAAGACTATTAATTAATGACATATATTTCATATATGTTCGTAATAATTAAAACTATATAATTAGGCTAGATAATATATTTATTCACCGTATTAACATTGTATTATGGTATAATAGATTTAAAAAATTTCAATATTATTCTTCTTATCCATCACTAAATTTTAGGTTACTTCATCACTAAGAAACCAAGTTAAAAGACTATTAATTAATGACATATATTTCATATATGTTTTGTCATTATTAAAACTATATAATGAATCTATATAGTATATTTATTCACCATATTCACATTGTATTATGGTATAATAGATGTAAACAATTTCAATATTTTACTTCTTCTCCGTCACCAAATTTTAGGTTACTTCATCACTAAGAAACTAAGTTAAAAGACTATTATTTAATGACAAATATTTCATATATGTTCGTAGAAACTAAAATTATACAATGAGTCTTCATAGTATATTTATTTACCATATTCACATTGTATTATGGTATAACAGATATAAACAATTTCAATATTATTCTTCTTATCCATCACCAAGTTTTAAGTTACTTCATCACTAAGAAACTAAGTTAAAAGACTATTAATTAATGACATATATTTCATATATTTTTGTAATAATTAAAACTATATAATTAGGCTAGATAATATATTTATTCACCGTATTAACATTGTATTATGGTATAATAGATTTAAACAATTTCAATATTATTCTTCTTATCCATCACCAAATTTTAGGTTACTTCATCACTAAGAAACTAAGTTAAAAGACTATTAGTTAATGACATATATTTCATGTATGTTCGTAACAATTAAAACTATATAATGAGGTTAGATAGTAAATTTATTCATCATATTCACATTGTATTATGGTATAATAGATGTAAACAATTTCAATATTTTACTTCTTCTCCATCACCAAATTTTAGGTTACTTCATCACTAAGAAACCAAGTTAAAAGACTATTAGTTAATGACATATATTTCATATACATTCGTAACAATTAAAACTATATAATGAGGTTAGATAGTAAATTTATTCACCATATTCACATTGTATTGTGTTATAATATATGTAAACAATGTCAATATTATTCTTATTATCCATCACCATATTTTAGGTTATTTCATCAATAAGAAACTAAGTTAAAAGACTATTCATTTATGACATATATTTCATATACGTTCATAATAATCAAAACTATATAATGAGGTTAGATAGTAAATTTATTCACCATATTCACATTGTATTATGTTATAATAGATGTAAACAATTTTAATATTATTCTTCTTATCCATCACCAAATTTTAGGTTACTTCATCACTAAGAAACTAAGTTAAAAGACTATTAGTAAATAACATATATTTTATATACGTTCGTAACAATTAAAATTATATAATTAGGTTAGATAGTAAATTTATTCACCATATTCATATTGTATTATGGTATTATAGATTTAAACAATTTCAATATTGTTCTTCTTATCGA